TTTTTTTTTTTTTTTTTTTTTTTTTTTTTTTTTTTTTTTTTTTTTTTTTGAATTGTGTTACTGAGGTGTACCTAACAATTGAATTAAATCTTAAAGCGTTAGAAACTCATACAAATTCAACTAGAATTGAAATTCAGGGACTACTACATTTTTGCATAGTAAAATATAAATAAATAAAAAAATCTGGTTTTCAAAGTGGTAAGGAAAGCGTGTGAAGTTTATTAATGATTTAAAAGAGATCGGAACGTTATGATTCTTCCCGTCGGATAGCGCTTTCCACTATCCTAGCACTCTGCGCCTTTATCTGCTTGCGGTTCGGGACATTGATATTGACCCTGGTGTCTTCCAGGAGATCGCCACCCATTGTCATGCCTGTTTGTTGATCCTCGTCATTGTAGGGCTCCCGTCGTTCGTAGGTGGCCAAAAACTGTTCGTGATACGCCTGTTTACTCTTCTGTAGCGATGGCAGCATTTTGTCTGAATAGTGCTTCATCAGTTTGTACACCTTACGCTTGAGTGTATTCATAAGAATTTCGACTGTTTTCAAGCAGAAGATTAGGCATAGCAAAAAAAAAAAAAATACAAAGTCCTTCATAATATTTAACTGTCGTAAAATTTACTTACCGTCGACTTCAAATAACTCGGGTGGCACGGCAGAGGCGTCCAACATCTCGAACTTTAGCAGAGGCAATTTTAGATACGAATTCGGATAAGTGGGACGAAATGTTTTAGGATTACGATCGACATGTCGAAGAATTTCATAAAGATTCCACACACTAAAGCTGAAAGAGTCTCAAACATAAATCAGACTACTTGGATGCGTACATATCTAAATCTTACCGGAACATAGTGTAAACATGTGATTGATCTATGAGACTTTCCACATTCGACTTTGCGAATTCCTCGTCCTTCTTTAACGTATCTTTTAAAGCATCAATGTAATTCAGGCGGCTGACAAGCAATAAATGTTGATTCATTAATGAACACTTTCAGTATGCGTTAAAGCAGCTCTTACTTTATCTCCTCCTCGGACAAATTGTTAATCAAAACCCCCTCCAGCACACTAGAACTATTCATCTTACTCCTGAGCGCATTGAGAGCCTGCCTATCGTGCTCGATCTTGCGCTCCAGCAGCACATTGCTCTCCACCTGACCCTTGAATCTGCGGACACAGAGCCTAAAGTACCTCTTACCGAGTAATTGGGCATATACTTTACTGTGGATAGATCTCCTTGGCCTGGGAGCAGAGTGTCACCAGCTTCAGTTCCTTGATGGTCTTCTCGATGGACTGTAGCTGCATCTTCAGCCGCTCCATGCTGTACGTCTGACGCACATATCGTCTGGGATTTGCTGATGGAATCTCCTTGGTCTCCACTACAATGCGCTGATTCACGGCCTTTGGCTGCTGCTGTTGCAGCGAGGCGAGCATCTGTATCTTATTTTGGAGATTCACTCGTGCCTTCTCCTGCAAGGCTTGGAACTCGCGATTGAGTTCCTTAAACTTGGCAATAGCCGGCATCCCCAAATACAGTATGTGCCGTATCAGAAGCGCCTGATCGGTCATATCGTCATCGAGCGAGCGCAGTATGGGCTCATAAAAAATCTCATCCTGCAGCAGGACTTGTATCATTTTCCTATATGTTGTATTTATGTTTCGAATGGCCTTCAGGCGGACATTTGAGTTTTCTATTTTCTTCATCAATATACGAGATGCTGTCTCCTCCTCCAACACATATAAGTTCTCATACTTCATTAGATTCTCCAGTTTGCAGCGCTCACGCTACAGATTTGTAGATTGAGAGAGAACTATTTTACTTGATGTTGATGTTTTTTCGGAATGCCACTCACCAACAGAGTTTTATATTCATGCTTCATCTGTCCCAAGCGAAACTCGAGACGATCTCGCTCCTTGCGCATGACAAAGGTCCGCTGATTGATATTGTCCACAATCAGATGAATGGGCATCTGCCGGTAGAGGCGCTGCATGTCAATGTGGTCATTCAGATAGTTGCGTATCGTATGCAGATTGTTGGCGGATGAGATGTTCTTCAACTTGATATGCCCATCAAAGCATTCGGCTTTCAAACGCTTACTCAGCTTAAGGAGACGCAATCGATTGGCCTTCGTCTCATGTCGCTTGTAGACGATGCGACGACCTTGAGCAATACTTCCAGTCAGACTCTGGCTACAGATAGGAAGTTTACTTACTTAGCAGCCCAGCCATGCCACTGAATTGATCGGTCAGAGATTGAGGAGTCCATTTCTCGTCCACAATCAAGTGCTGGCTGGCATAGCCCATGCCAAAGAGTCCATGAAAGCGAATGGGACGAGCCCGCATCACCTTGGGAATCAAGGCATCTCGTCCGCTGTTCTTCTTTTTCAGGCAGAACTCAAGGCTCTTTTCCTGCTGAAAACAAGGCATGTCGATATCGTCTTTGGTTTGCTTTTATGTATGCATATAAACTTAAGTTTTTATATGTATATTTGTTTATTTTTTTAATTTTTTTTTTATTATTTATTTTATTTGTGTTTCTGTGTTTTCTGTAGTGTACCTAACTGTTGTGTAATGCTTACAGTGTTGAAGTAAATACTTTCCAATGTACGAACGCTCATCAACTCATGCACCTTTCCATGGCTTGCTATATTCACTCCCTAAATTAAGGTATATGAACTATTTTATATAGATTTTTAAAATAGTTTTTATAACTTTTATTAATATTAAATGCACTATACATCCTCCAAGTGAGAGTGCACCCCGGAAATAAAACCAACAATTTAGTGTAAGATTCGTTTATAGTTGAATTGAATTAAATTCGAATATCAATCTAATCATAATATCAATCTGTGAAATTGGAAAAACAGGGTATACCTAAGGAAGTATTCTAGTACTCTTCGTGAGCTTTCGCTTCCTCTACCACCTTGGCGCTCCACGTCTTAATCTGTTTGCGTGACGGCACACTCAGGTAGACTTTGCCGTCATCGTAGTCGACCACCTTCATGTCGCCTTCGGTGCCCTGTGTGTCGCTGTATACGCGAGTGGCCAGGAAGCGTTTGTGGTACTTCTCTCTAAAGCTGCTCACTGTCTCGCGGTTATTCGCCTCGGCGAGCTTCTCGTAGCCCTTCATCAGCTTGTAGAGCTTACGCTTGAGCAAATGCATGATCTTGTCAACTGCGTGAGATAAATAGAAGAACTTATAGACATGATGCAGAAGCAAATCGTAAATATACTCAACCATCTTCCTCGTAAAGCGGTGGGTTGACCGCTAACATGTCGAACAATTCGAATTTGAGGAGCGGCAATTTCAGATACGAGTTGGGATAGGCACGTCGAATCATAAAGGGGCTGTGATCGATGTGCCTCAATATTTCAACGAGATTCCAGAGACTAACGCTGCAAAATAAATCGATTTTGCATTTTATCCAAATTACCAACTGAGAAATTTACAGAATCTTCCTTACCGTAGCATTACGTAGGCATTCGCACGATTTCTTATATGGTCCACACTACTTTGCTGGAATTCCTTGTCTGCAGTCAATGTGGCTTTCAATGAACGAATGTATTCCAAACGACTATCGACAGTTGATGTTTCAAAATAAATTCAATAACTCATATATCATATACCCACTTTACTTCCTCCTCGGATAGATTGTTCAACAGTACGCCTTCTAGTACACCCGAATATTTTAGTTTGTTACGGAGCATTTCCCGACTCATTAGATCAAACTGAATCTGCTGAGTCAGATTCTTGTTGTTTTCCATCTGAGTCTTCGCGCTGCAGAAATACGTTTAAAAAGTTGCCCAATTAAATGTTTTTTCTACTGACGAACCGTAAGTAAATCTCTTTTGCTTGCGAGCAAAGTGTTGTAAACTTTAATTCCTTGATGATCTTCTCGATTCTCTGCAGTTCTTTCCTAAGTTCCACCATGCTTTTCGTTTCACGCAAATAGCGATCCTTTCTCGAGTTTCCCACAATATCCTGCAAGTCCTTGGTCGGAACGAAAACCCGCGGCTTCTTCAAATCGGCAAGCAGCTTCACCTTGGCCGCATAGTCCACTCGCGACTTTTCCTCCAAGCGTCGAAACTCCTTGTTGAGCACCTTAAACTTGCTTATGACAGGCAGGCCCAGATAAATGATGTACTTGATCATATGCGTCTGCTCAGCGATGTCATCATCGAGGGAACTCAAGATGGGCTCATAGAATATCTCGTCCTGCAGCAGCACCTGCACCATTTTCTTATATGTTGTGTTGATCGTTTTGATCGCCCTGAACCTCACAGTCGAGTTTTCGATTTTCTTCAGCAACATGCGAGACACGAGTTCCTCCTCCAAGACAAACTCATTCTCATATTTGATGCGGTTTTCCACAATGGCACGCTCTATCTGTTTAAGAATTAGCATCATTATCCCACAATGATTCAGAGTTAACCACTTACAAGTAAATCATTCAGCTTTTGCTTCAGCTGCTCCAAGCGAGCCTGCAGACGATCCCGCTCCTTGCGCATGACAAATGTGCTCTGATTGATGTTGTCCGCGACCAGATGGATGGGCATCCTCTGATAGAGACGCTGTAGGCTGCTGTGATTGTTCAGCATGTTGCGTATCTCGTGGGCATTGTTGCCCACCGAAATCTTCTGCAGCTTGAGCCGCCCATTCATGCATTCTTCCTTCAAGCGCTCGGTCGTCTGATGCAGACGACTCACCAGGGTCTCCTTCTCATGTTTGTTGTAGATGAGCCGAGAAGCTGGAACATGGAATATATATATTTGAATCAGTTAATCAGCTCGAATATGATATACATATATTTATAATATTTTATATTGCATATTCGCTTACTCAGCAGACTATTGATGAATGTATACTGCTCGGTGATCGAGCTGGGCGTCCAATTCTCGTCAAATATTAGATGCTGGGCTGCGTGCGAGTAGCTTAAGAGTCCATGCACATTGGGATCTCGAGGACGCACCGGCTTCACCAGAGTCCGCTTCCTGTCGCGCAACTGGCGTTTTGATGGTGGTCTGTTCCGCTTATAGCAAGGCATTTTGGAGTAGTATGTGCTTTATAGGATTGGTAGTTATATATTTATGTATGTATGTATTTATTCACATGAATATATTTGTGTTTTTTGGAGTTTGCTGTTGTTGTTGTTGTTATGTGCGTCGCGATTGTATTTGAATGATTTGTTCTCATGTAGTCGAATGTTTTCATGTAGTTTGAAAGCAAATCCACAGCCAAGCAAGAAACTTACCAATGGCAGAGAAGGAGCTGTGGCGGTTCATATTTTTAATCAAGATGACTCGATATAACTATGTCGAATTATCTGTCCGTTCCTCTGTGTGTATAACTTATATAAAGTGTACATATATATCTTCATTCATCCATTAAGATCTTCAGAATTATAACTACTCTCATATCATTTATGTATATATAATAATTAACAACATTTTAGTTTCGATTGTGTAGTTCATATTTATGTTAATTGATTAGTACAAGTCAACAATGAAATATTCCATCAATCTAATATTTTTTAGAAAAATATAAAAGTTATAGGTCTTAGTTGTAGCCGTGTCTGGTATCCTTCTCTACAAGCTTGGCGCTCATCGCCTTAACCTGCGTCCGGTACAGACTACTGCGGTCGACGTTGTCATCATCAAGATCCAGCATGCCTTATATATAGAATTATACTTCTTATTCGTAACTCTCTCTGATTTCCTCCAAGGTCTTTGCACTTTTCGCCTTAATCTGTTTACGTGTCAAAATAGTGGGGTCCACTTTATCATCGTCAAAACTTATCCTGGGCTCAATTAGTTGACTACTCTGCCGGTCGGCACTGAGTCTCATGCGATCCATGTAACGGCTGTGATACTCATCAACAAACTTCTTGGTATTCAGGTCGCGAAGTGGAACATTTTGGTAGGCCTGCACCAGCTTGTAGAGCTTGCGCTTGATAAGGTGCATGATCTTATCAACTGTTCATTAAACAGTAAACGAGAACGTAAGTATGCAACTTATATAATATCTCAGCTTTACTCAACTGTCTTCCTTGAAAATTGGAGGCGCCATCGCAAGCATTGTGTACAGCTCGAATTTGAGTAGAGGCAATCGCAAGTACGATGTTCTATAACGCCGACGAGTGGAATAGGGACTGCGATCGATGGATCGCAGGATCTCTGCCAGATTCCAAAGGCACAAGCTGCGGATGCAATAGAAATTCATGAGCAACAGCAATGAGAGCTATCTAAAAATAGTCGACTCTACCGTATCATGATGAAAGCTCTAGCACGATTCTGGATGTACTCCAACGTGTCCTTCTGAGTCTCCTTTTCTTTTTGCAATTCGTTTTTCAGTGTTTCAATGTATGTAAGTCGCCTGTCGGGAAAATCAAATTCTCAATATATGTCTAACAAATCGTGAAGTACATACTTGATTTCCTCTTCGTTCAGATTGTGCACTAATACACCCCGCAGCATACTCGCAGAAATTTGTTTCTCCTCCATGACATCACGATACAAATGCTCGCATACGATATGACGGCTCACCTGTTGGTTTTTCTTTATCTGACTCTTGACGCTGAAACAGAGACAGTTTTTTAGTGGTTCAAGGCTCAAAGTTTTTGTAGACGAACCGTGGATAAATCTCGTTAGCCTGTGCGCAAAGAGTATTGTATTTTAGCTCGTTGATCAGTTTCTCAATGGCCACCGATTCGTTCTTTAGCTCCGTCATACTTTTCGTCTCGCGCATGTAGCGCTCGCGTTCCGGAATATTAATAGATTGCCGCATGTCCTTGGCCGGCAGGGGCACAAAAGTCCGTCTCTTTCGCAATTCGGCAACAAATTTGATCTTGGTTTCGAAATCGGCATGCGACCTCTCCTCCAACCGTCGAAACTCTCGCTTGAGCTGCTTAAATCTATCTATGGCAGGCAAGCCCAGGTCAATAATAAACTTAATCATCCTAGTCTGATCCATAATGTCATTATCGAGCGAATTTAAAATGGGCTCATAAAATATCTCATCGTGCACTAGGATGCGCACCATTTTCTTGTATGTTGTATTTATTGATTTTATCGCCCTGAACCTCACAGTTGAGCAATCGAGTTTTTTCTGTAAGACTCGCGCTTTTATTTCCTCCTCCAAAATAAACTCATTCTCATATTTGATGCGGTTCTCGAGTTTGGAACGGTCTATCTATATGGAATTGCTTAATTAGTTTTTGCCAACTACAGAGAGAGAGAGAATCGAGCAGGAGTGGAGACTGTCCTACATATATACGAACCTGCAACTGATACAATTTACGCTTCAACTGCTCTAGGCGAGATTGTAGACGATCTCGCTCCTTGCGCAAAGCGAAGGTGCTCTGATCGATATTGTCGGCCACCTGGTCTATGGGCAGCTTGTGGAAGAGGCGCTGCATAGCCCTGTGATTGCTCAGCATGTTCCGTATCTCATGGGCACTGTCGCCGCCCGATATCTTTTGCAGCTTCAAGCGCCCATCGTGGCATTCTTCTCTCAATTCCGCTGCTTTCGCCCGAATGCGCTTTTGGCTTGCCTCCTTCTCGAACTTATTGTAAATGCTGCGAACGACTGAGGTGTACCTCAGGCGTTGAGTCTCTCGTAGAGCTGCTTACAATTACTTACCCAGCAGGCTGTTCAAATGGGTGTATTGCTCCACTAGCGAAGTGGGCGTCCAGGTGTCGTCAATGACTTGGTGCTGGGTGACGTTCGCAGTTCCGAGGAGTCCATGCGTGCTGGGGTCTCGAGGACGCGCTAGCTTCAGTGGTTGAAGAATACCCCTGTGCCTCCTTTGGCGGGTCAATAGATTCTTACTACGTACACCGCACGGCATTTCGAATGTATCTTATATTTATAAATATTTTAATATATATGTAAAATAATTTTATATATATATGTAAATATTTTTCGTTTTAGAGTTTGTTGTTGTTGTTATGTGCGTCGCGATTGTAATGAATATTTTTTCAAGTAGTCGAGCATATTCATTCGTTTTTAAGTTCCTCATTTTGAAAGCAACTGCACAGCCACCACTCTAGAATATAATCCTTACACTTAAACGAAGGTAATAGTCCTGGAACAATCGATAATAATCGATTGCCCGAAATTGCCCTCTTTGTGCAATAAAATAAGATTAGACGTTGAATATATTTGTGGAAATGTAAAAAACTAGAAAATTTATAGACATCAATCCAAAACGAGCGGCTACGATTCGTCCCGCCTGGAAACCTCCTCTATAAGTCTGGCGCTCTGTGCCTTGATCTGTTTGCGATTCGGTATGGAGGCCAGGGTCCTGTCCTCCAACAGATCATCAATCTTTGGCCCATCCTGCTGGTCATCATCAAACGCTCTAACCGGCTCAACTGTCTCCAAATAAAGGCGATGATAACGCTCTCGACTTTGGGGAATAGCCGCTGCCATGGCGGGAGTGAATGACTGCATTAGTTTGTATACCTTACGCTTAAGGTAGTGCATTATTGAATCGACTGTGTGGAGAACGGGGAAATGTGATTAGATTTCTCTGCTTTAAGTGCTCATTAGGTCATTTGCCAACCGTCTTCCTCAAAAAGTTCGGGGGGGAAGGCTCTCATTTCAAAAAGCTCGAATTTCAGAAGTGGAAGTTTCAACCATTCATTTGGGTATTGTCTTTTGTACAGTTTAGGATTGCGATCTACATGACGAAGGATCTCCCACAGATTCCAAACGGTCCATCTAATGACGACCGAGAGATAGAGAGATAGAGAGATAGAGAGAGAGTGAGGTAAGATTATACAGAAAAGAGGTGCCCATATAATGAAAGCATACCGCATTAGCACATAGGCATCGGCTCGACTTTTTATATGGGCGATACTTTGCTCCTCAAACTCATCGTCACTCTTCATCATCAGCCGTAGCTCCCTAATGCGCTCTAGACGACTGTCGGGCAGATAAATGGATTATGTATATGTCCATATAAAAGTCAAGTGCTATCGGAGCTGCTTACTTAATTTCTTCCTCGGATAGATTGTTTACTAGTACATCCGAGAGCAGAGTGGAGCATTTCAATTTTTGCTCGAGCGTCTGTTTGGCCTGCATCTTTTTTGCGAGTTCCCGTTTTAGCTTTTCATTGTTTTCCATTTGAGTCTTAATGCTAAAAGTCAATGATTCTTACATCTGTTAGATTACCTACTTGGGATCTTAAAGCACTCACCGTGGATAAATCTCCTTAGCCTGCGAACATAAAACGGTCAATCGAAGATTTTTTATTGTATTTTCAATCTTCTGGAGCTCAGCTTTGAGAATCGCCATGCTCTCGGTAAGGCGCAGATAACGCTTGGGATTATTGGTCTGTATCTCTCTGACTACGACCTGTGGGGGTCCAATAACAATTGGCTTTTTCAGCGAGTTCAATATCTGAATCTTTGCTAGTTGATTCTTGCGAGCCTTCTCCGACAATTGCAAGAGCTCGCGATTCAGGACTTTGAACTTGGCGATGGCCGGCATGCCCAGATAGAGTATGTGCTTGATGAAGTTCACCTGGTCCTCCATATCGCCATCGAGAGAGCGCAGAATCGGCTCATAGAAAATCTCATCCTGCAGCAGAACCTGGCGCATTTTCTTATATGTTGTATTAATGGTACGGATGGCATTCAGGCGCACATTCGAGTTCTCTATCTTCTTGAGGAGCACGCGCGATTGCAGCTCCTCCTTCAGGACATACTCATTCTCGTACTTAATCATATTAATCGCTCTGGACCTCTCCATCTGTTGTGTTTCGGATAGAGAATGTGAATTACGATCCATCTGTTGATTCAGCTATACACATTACCAATAAAACTCGATATTTCTCCTTCAGCTGCTGCAATCGAGCGTCCAGACGATCGCGCTCCTTGCGCATGACGAAGGTCCGTTGATTGATGTTGTCGGCGACCAGATAAATGGGCATCCTCTGGTACAGCCGCTGCATATCTCTGTGCATAATCAGATAGTTTCGGATCTGGTGCGCATTGTTGCCGACCGTGATTTTCTGCAGCTTGAGGCGTCCATCAGCGCACTCGGCTTTCACGCGCTTGTTCTCCACCAGGAGCAGGGCGCGATGGGCCCTGGTCTCGTGCCGTTTGTAGATAACGCGCCGCTCTAGACACTCGCACGAGATCAGACCACGATATCTTTACAAATGGCATGATGGATGATGGGTCACTTACTCAGCAGCTCGGCCATGTTGCCATAGAGATCGGTTATAGAGCTGGGCGTCCATTTCTCGTCCACAATGAGATGCTGGGCTGCAATGGACATGCCGAAGAGTCCGTGGTATCGCATGGCGCGAGGGCGCACCGGCTTGGGCGCCATCGGATCCCTATCATTGGTGGTATCCCGCCGAGAGCGGAACTCAAGGCTCTTCTCCTGCTTGAAACAGGGCATCTTGTCCGTCTATTGTCTGTATATTATGTATGTCTATGTATGAATTATGTATTTGAGTATATGGGTTTGAATATGTGAATGAGTTATGTATTTGAGTATATGGGTTTTAATATCTGTAAGTGTTATGTGCTCGTGTTGAGTCGTATGGTTGTACTGAATATTTTTGTTGTGAATTGGTCCCTAATGCTGTACATGACATATGTGGATTACTAGATTGCTGGAATCACTAAAGCCATGCACAATAGTAAATTATCGTTTACTAGAAGAAAATGCGCCAAGAGTTTATTTTACACATTTATTTTGCACTAACATTTTTTAATTATATTTTTTTGATTTTTTTTATTATTTCTTTAAACATAAATCTTATACAATTCATAAAATGTTTCAATAGAATTTTCTCTTAGCTTGTACTTGAGTATGTTGTGGTATTACTTATATAGTCTGCATAAAATAATTTCTTCTATATTTTCGTGAAAATATTTGGTGTACATATATTGTTTTGCTTTCGCTGGGCAAGAAATTAACTAATAGAAACACATTTAACAATTTGTTCTGTTTCAAAGTAAACTGTATATTGTTTATATATATCATGTGCACGATCAACTCTATTGCACTTCTTACAGTTATCTACAAGTTGTGTATGCTTGTATATCTCTCAATGAAAAGCTAATTTCCTTTAATTTCCGCTTGTTTTTTTTTATTTTTTAATTTAAATATTCAATTTTCCTTTCGAGTTTTCCTTCATGCCAAATTTTTGTAATTTTTTGCTTGAAGACATCAACAAGTGGTCGCTCTCATTTGGAAATTCTTAGGCGTAGATAGAGTTGGATACGTACTTTATTTGTTTAGGTAGTTCTTGAATGATTTCTCCTTCACAGGCCTAGATAAAGGTTTTGTTCTGGATTAAGGTTTAGCTCAAACAGCAGCGTACAAATATTGTCATAAAACTCTTTTTTTTTTTTTGCATTTTTTCTTTTGTTTGTCATTTATAGTAATATTTAGTGTATAATTTATAATTTACATTGATTTGTTCGATTTTTACTTGTAGCTATAGATTTCATGAAAATTCCATGTATGATTGTTGCTTCTAAATATTATTGCATTGCTGTGTATGTGTGTGTGTGTGGGAGTGTGTGCGAGTGTATTTTGTGTTGCCTACTCTACGACGCACGGCGATCTCCCGCGATTTATAAGAAAGTAACGCCTACTTGTAGGCATAGCGCAAATTAGTCAGAGATACTTTAGGTACATGTTTTCGATTTCAAATCTTTTAAATTAAATACTAAAGAGCGCAATTCGAAAGGGAAACGCAGTTTGGCAGTTGGCTCTTACGAGTTTGCATTCGAGTTGCAAAAGCCCTAAGTAAAAACGAATTCAACTGCAACAGAAGAGTATTAACAACAATAAGTAAAAAGAAATCATTTATCTCGTGTATTATGTATATGCGAAGATTTATTTAAACACAGTTCCAGCGTATTGCCGCCCCTTAGCTTATTTAAACAATTTATAAATGATCTATTTATACATATATATATATATATATCGTATATGTATATATATTATTTTATATATTGGATTGGATGTGATTTGTATAATTTTTGCGTTTGCTTATCAAACAATTTCATAAATGGCTAATACAACGCATGCCTTAAAGCATTATACATATACACACAAATATATATATAAATATAAATATATAATAGTTGATTTCCACTCATTTTAAATATACAATTATAATAATGCAACTCGGCTCAAATTGAAATAATACCTAAAAATATACAAATTGAATTTGGGACCAAATTGAAACTAGCTTGGAATGCTTTTACAAATACGAATAACTTTTCTTTTCCACATTTTCCATACTGCCGTTTTCGCGTTTTACAACAATAAACAAAAATTAAACGTCGGAAAAATAGACTAAAGATAACAATAGGAAACTAATAGATTTATAAACGGTTTAAAATATTGCAAACTGTTTTAGAGGCTCAAATACGCTCTCATCTAAGCATAATTGTAACATAGTTTATAGCTTTATGGCGTCTACAAAGATTTCAATAATAAATATATATATATATATAATTTCCGATAGTGTACAATAAATTTCAGTATTCAACAGATTCCATTTGACGTGTGTTTTGTTTTCAGCTTTAGCTTTAGCTTTAGGTTTAGTGATTGGCGTAGGACACAACTACAGGTTTTTGCTTACACTTATTATGTAGGATTTACACATATGTATGTATGTAGGTATATTTCACATAGGCTACTCTGTATTCTTTTACGTTTCGTTTTTGTATTTGCTTTTGTTTCACTTTAGCTAATTATGGAAATTCTTGCATACAAGTTATATAAATTGTTGTATACATATAAATAGTCAAACTCATTTTACGTTTTATAGTAATAATATAAATATATATGTATATGTATATGTATATATGTATATAGCAATTTGTGTATGTGTATGTGTGTTTGTGTATGCTTGCTCAACATTATAATAGAACTCTCAGCATTTTCATTTCGTTTGTAGCATAGTGTAAACATTTATAATTTCATACTTTTGTGTTGAATTTGAATTTTCTTTAATCTTTTTATAATATCTGCAAATATATATTCATATATTATGTATATTGTGTGTGTGTGAGTGTGTGTGTGTGTGTTTGTAATGTTGTCTATGAGGTTATAGCGCTTAATGTGTGTACGTGTGTGCTTGTGTGTGTCTCCTTATGTGTGTTATGTGTGTTGTGTGTGTGTGTGTGTTCAGGTGGCGCCTTATAACGCCCCAAACGGATCGAGTGGTACATTTTTATTGCCTCCATTCTGCGTCGCCTGCGTGGGTTGCATGATCCCTGTCGCTGCTGGCACCGTCGCATTACTGTGCGCCACGCCCATCATCGTCGGCTGCCCCCCAGTCAAAGGGGCTGCTTGTGGCAGCATACTCGGCTGCTGCCCCATCACCGGCATGCCCTACAATCACGAAAATAACTCATTAGAACACTCTCAAATCAATATCAGCGTTTATCGTTTGATCAAACTTCCAAATCATGCAAGGAATTGGAGGATTACTTCAACGACTAAGGATTAGACATAAGTTGCGGAAGTTACTGGATAGAAAGAATTGTTGGTTAACAAGTATTTGGCTATTTGAGATTGGCCGCCGTGAGCTACATACATATATAGTATATATATATATAGAAATATATATATACATATGTGATTTTTCAAAACTTGGGGTTAGTGAACTCTACATAGGACATACAACGAAAATGAAAACTCAGTTCAGAAAACTTTTTTCTACAAAAAAAAAAAATAATAATAATAATGATAATATTATGGAAATCCAAAATAAGCCTCATCAAACTCATAGGAATGTAAATTTTCAAACAGGAAAATCAAAACTTCTCGAGTATTATGTCAAAAGAGACCTATATATAAAGAGAGAGAGAGAGAGAGAGAGAGAGAGAGAGAGAGAGAGAGTGAGAGAGACGGGGTTGCGATAGTGGATACCATAACCATAGAAATAGAGCACGGGGCAACAGTTCGGAAGGCTCTGTGCGTAGGGCAGAAGTCAGAGTAGGTAGATTTGATAGTGAGAGTGAAGTCTTAACTAAAGATAGGCAAAATCAAAATGAAAAACTAAAAAAAAAAAATAAATAATAAAGTAGATAAGTTCAAACATAATCAAAATTAAAAGTCGTAAATACGCACAATATATATATATATAATTTGTTTAATGAAAGTAAACTAAAGGCAACTGAAAATTATAGCAAGTATAACATTTATATTTGATTATGTTTTATTCAAAATTGTTTCTGTATGGTCGTTTGATTGTATTATCGTATAATTGTTGATTACGTTTCGGTTCGTTTGCATCATTCTTACCTGCATATAATTTGGCATAACAGGATAACTAGCATGTATATACGGATGATTGATTGTGATTGGCGCAGGACTTACGGTCATGCCATGTGCCTATGTATACATACATATAAATATATATAATATATGCATATATACATCAATATTCACACATATTCATATATAGATATGCACATGTATATATTGTGTGTGTGTGTATATTTCAATACATATGTATATAACACAAGCATACAGTCAGCATTAGCACAGGAGCATCGTGAATTACATATTTATTTCAGGTGTTGAAATTTCATTATATTATTTATTTGTATTTGTTATTATTTATCATAAATTATTATTATTATTTTTTTGGGTATATTTCGATATTGCGGTATGCGTTGGATAGTTGAAATATATAAAGCAACATAAAATAAAGAAAAGAAAGTGATAGTTTATATATATGTATGTGTATATATATATATATAAGTTAATATTAAGACGAACTAAATAAAAATAGAAAATCAAATTAAAATGGAGTAAATACAGTTAGGTGTGTATGTACGAGTACAAGTGAATAATTGGCCTGCTTATGTAGGTTAGCTATTTCAAGTAGCTGCTCGATACCTACACTGACGAGGTGTGCCACAATAGTTTGCCCTAGTGCTAGGTGTAGTAGTAATAGTAATAGTAGTTGTTGTTGTCGTTGTGTGATGCAGTGTGAATATATGAGAAGACCTTAACCAATACATCATATGGTATAATCGAAACGATTCAAATAAACGTTCAACTTGCAACAACTTGGTTTGTGCTTTTAAAGCTTTATAAAAAAGATATATTATATAGTAAAAATGGCCACGACATCTAGATAATATTTTTGGGTTAAATCAAATCACAGATCAAGGCATTATAAATAAGTAAACCAAGTAGCTGTTGTTGTTAGGCAAAGTGCGATTCTTAAAATGAAAAATATTTGAAAAATAGGAGAAATGTACAAAACTGAAAAATATAAGAAACAAAATCATAATCATAAGAGAAATTGTATGTTACATGGATACTGAGCCTAGCGTGTTGTGTGACACAATCATTGGGATACCCTCATCCCTATGCTTCCCTCAAACATTCTTGGTCATTTGCTCTAAGAGCACAAAAGGTCTATCTATAAAGTTATATATGTATGTATATGATATATGTATATGTACATATAACTCTCATAGCTCTGTTATTTGTTGTTGTATTTAGTTGAGTTTCGATTGACTTGAGTTTTGATTGAGTTGAGTTTCGGTTGAGTTGAGTTGAGTTGAGTTGAGAGAAAGAAAGAGTAGAGAGTTAGCTGTGGTCATAACTCACCATTGGACGATAGCCAGCACCAGTTGTAGCCGCCATTGGTTGAGGTGTCCAATTAGCACCTGGTTTCGCTGTATTTTTAGGTGAATTCCATTGCACGGGTCTATGAGATACATATGGGGTAAGAGAGTAATGATATATAGAGAGACACGAAATCAATGAAACTTTCTTTTTTTTCTTTTGGTTTTGAATTTCGATTACGTTTCTAAGAATATTTACTCGAATCGGAAACTAAAATGGGGAGACTGGTTATGTACACAAATGGAACATGAAATGATGGGATATGCGGGTAATTATAATGGGGCGAGACTTGAGAGCATTTCCAGGGTCAAGCATTGAGATTGTCAAAGTAAGCTGTATTTATAATTGAGTTAGCCAACAGAGATGTTCATAAGTATATAAGAAAAGTTTTCTTTCAAAACTTTAGAGGGATATTCTGTTTCAGAATATTACAAATTTTTGTATATATGAAAAATCTATGTTTTAGACTGACCATAAGAAGCTGGTACTTTTTGCTCTTCGGCTTAGTATTTTTTTTTTTGTATTAACACACATACACATAAATTTGGATCATGCTTGACCTTCGTCTGGAAATGCTCAGATGGGAGTATGTTACGAGGCTTTTTGTTTGATGAGACATTCTGAAGGTGATTCGCTGATGCATTTATCATACTCCTCCCACACACAGACGCACATGGATAATCTACACACGCACACATACGCACAGTTACTTGTCGATTTTACTCACTTTGCACTCGCTGTTTTATTTATATTTAAATTATCAACTAGGGACATTAGTGAACTATCCAGGTCGCCCGTTATTATCTTGCCAGTGCCAGTTGGTTGTTGTTGCTGTTGTTGTTGGTGCTGTTGCTGCTGCAGTTGCTGTTGCTGTATGAGTAGCTGCTGCTGTTGTGTATTCATTTGCTGTTGCTGTTGTAATGTTAGGGCCGGACTGCTGGCATTGAAGCCCTGGTAAGCGGCACCTGCGGCGACAACATTCATTTGATTGCTGTTGGCTGTGGCCGGTTTCAGAACATCGCCCAAAGCATCAAAGCCTTTTTTTTTATATATATGTGACACACAATTGATGTTGTTGTTGTTGTTGTTGTTGTACGAGATATAGCCAGCACACCATTTTAGGCAGACATTTACACAGACATACACAGATGTTGTTGTTGTTGTTTTTATTGTTGTTGTTGTTGTTTTTATTGTTGTTGTTGTTGTTTTTATGATACAAATGAAAGCCCACAACAAATGTTTAATGAGATATTCGTATGTTTCGATTTGCAAGTTTTCGCCGGGTTTTAAAATGATTTCGTTGTCGTTTTTAGGAGACATATAATTATATATACATATATGATACGTGTATATGTAAATATATGCATAGTTTTCAATTGAGTTTTTGTTCAAGGATTTGTGCCACCAACATTAACGTATTGTAAACATGAGACAATGTGTGTTAATGTATTTGTATTTTTGTTTATTTTATGTTACGTACATAAGAACATAAAAGAGAGAAAAAGAGAAAAAATACATTGACAAAATAAATATCGAGAATAAAGATTTCGTTTGTTCTTTTTCTATATAATGTTCTATGTGCATAATTATAAAAAAATGTTTCATAATTGACGGGTTTTGTATGATAATTTGGCATTAGTTAGTTAGCATATAATTAGTTAAGCGGTTTACCAAGCATGTATTAATTGAGGTGCATATATGGTATGTTAATTTACTATGAATTATTTAACTAGAAGCGAATAACTTTAAAATTCTAAGTGATAAAGAATTGAAATAGAAGCAGAGACGAAACAGGAATAGCATTAGCAAGAGACCCGTAAGACTTGTACTAGCTAAGGACAGCTCAAAGACTTAAAGAGACCCAAAACTAAAAATGTATTAATAATTATTTAATTACTGTTTTCTTTCGTCTTATTTGGTTTGTTTGTAAATCTGACTTAGACATTATGAAACACATTTCAGGACACACTCACGCAATTTTTACGAGTAGAAACATAAATTAAGAACCAAGACTGACAACAAACTTGTTTCGAGAACAAAAGATTTACGTACATGAATAGCGGTGGGATTTGTAAGCATTTTCAGGAGTCTGCAAATGCCAAGCAGGACAAGGCATATCAAGTACTTGGTCGTAGTACAAACGAAGAGGTTATCAAATAATGGAAATACTTTAAGTTCTTTAGCACATCGAAAAATATAATCAAAGTACCATCATATAGTTAAGTATACTTTAAATAACTTGTTTTCTTTTACTGAAAAAACCCTAATCAAGACTATTATTATTTATATATATATATTTTTTTTTTAGTTTTTATCACTTTTATTAGCATTAGTCGTAAGTACTTGGAAATGCATTTGCGATAGACTCTATTGAGCAGAGAGACAGACTTTAGACGATCGTGTATGCGTGTAAGTGTGTGTGTGTATACGCATCACTACAAGCACAACAAAGATGAGGCCAGTGTGGGACAACTGAAGCTTTGTACAAAAACAAAGCGCGCAACGTAAAAATTGGGTTCTGCGTTTCATTTGGCTCGCAATTGTTCACCTGTGGGGAATGGAGACATCGTGGAGGTCGTTAATAAAGCCAGCTCTTGCTGCTGTTGCAGTTGTTGCTGCTGCTGCTGCTGTTGCAGCCGCTGTTGTTGTTGCTGTTGTTGCATATAAAATAATACGGCCTGCTGTTGCTGTTGTTGTGGCTGATACTGTGGCTCTCCAAGTTGGCCATAGGCGATAGCATCATCGAAAAAGGGATTTGGCAACGGTGCTGACGACGCGGCTTTTGTCATTCGACACAAGTAAACAGATTCGCAAGGATATTTCGTTGGGGATAGCCATAAGAAAAATAATTAAATTATAAGCATAGGTAAAACAAAATCTATAAAATCAACAAAATTATGCACTCAAAGTTCCAAAATTATCAGAGCTTGAAAAAACTGTGTAGAATTGAGTTTCACGCATACAGCAAAAGTTTCAGGTGTGGGCAAAACTTAAAACTAGATGTGATGGATGGACTGTAGTCTAGCCTTCTCTCGACATTCTTTGGAGCGGGTGTACGCTTGGCATTATCAAAACACGAAAACTTTAGAGTGTATTAGGTAAAATATTAGTACAGCATGCTAAACACACCAGTAATTAATATGAGTAGAGAAAAAAAAAAACATTTATGTATGCTAAGAGTTAAGAGTTAAGAGAACCGCACCACAGAAAAGCATTACTTTAACTAGTTTTTAGCCCCCTCGTGTTAGAACTTTGAATTACTTTAAATCGCTTTACAGTTAAGTATATATATGTACGAATTGATTAAAATTAAGTTGCATTGCAATTGTAAATGTATTAATGAGAGAATTAAACCGGCTTTGATTGCTTCTTTGGTAGCACTTACCTGTTGGTTCCGTATTACCGAAAACGGACGTAAAATTACTATCGGAAACGAATGCATTTGTAGCAGCAGCGGAGGAAACTGTAGAGCCATTGAAACCTATTTTATGGTTTTTTTATGGGAGTTTTTTTTTTCATAGTTGTGTGTGTGTGTGATTTATCGAATATTTATCGAGTCATGTTGTTGTTGTTGTTGTTGTAGTTGTTGGTTGTTGGTTGTTTGTTTTAGGGTAGTGGGGAAAAAAACCAGTGATGAAAATGAAGAGCAACAATACATTAGACGAAGAAATTCAAAAATGAGTAAATAATAACTTACGAAATTATATCAAATACATAATGTACAAAAAATAAACATAATTGAAAGTTAATGTTATTTATGATAGGAAAAACATGTGCATCAAAAGTTTGTGCTTGAGGACGGCCATATATGTATAATATAGAGAGAGCGAGAAGAAATAGAGATAGAAAAAGAGTAAGAGAGAGAGAGCTGGGACGGAGTGCGCGCCTTTAAATGTCTGGATCTGACACAGCTACAGAGACAACATGGGTAATACATATACATATATAGAGATATAGACTTATATCGTAAAAAGTAAAACTTGAAGGCAACACCTAAGCGCCAAAGCTTAAACTAACTAACTAAAGTCAACTGAAAATCTTAATTAATTAAATAATAAGAAAATCATAGCATGCTACCGTTATTATGCATCCATAAATTATTGGCATTGAGTGCAGCACCTGTTGCTCCGGCTGTGGCACCTGCCACACTGTTGCCGCTGGCCTCGAACATGTCGGCAAACGGATTGCCCAGCTGCAGCAAGTCGTCGGACGCCTTTGTGGCAAGCGCCTGTGAAGCGCCAGATGCTGCTGCAGCAGCAGCGGGCTGTGCCGACGCGGCACCAAACAGATCAACTATCGGCTGACCAGCCTGGGCGGCTGGCGGTGACGATAGGAATGGATTTGTTAGTGCAGCGCTAGCACCACCAGCACCGCTGCTAGTGGGCGACGATACCTTGGACTGATGAGCAAGGGAGAATAAGACAGTTAATTCGCTATCATTTACATTCAATTACATCATATTGATGTACTCACTTTGTACTGATTCATGGCGGCCTCCTCCTCAGCCAGCACCTGGGCCTTCAGCTGCTCGTCAATGCCATTGGAGGTATCAAATTTACTAGACGCTGCCGCAGTGCCAAATGCCGAGCTAGTTGAAGAGAGTGCAGAGACAGCGGATTTAACATTTGTGCGTTGATAGCTGCGCCAACAAATCAAATGCAACAAATCATAGAAAAGAAACAGAAAATGGAAAACATAAATCAACTTACAAAGCAAATAAACTAAATATTGAAATAATTAAAGCAAAATATATAAAAGTAAACAAGGAACTTTCAATTCTAACTTGAATAAATAACATATTCATAAACTAATTTCGTAATCTTCAAAGTCAAATTAACTATCTACAGCAACACACCTCGACGATTGTGTGGGTGTATTGGCCGCAGAGACCTTGCGACCCTCCAACGTGGCCAAATGCTGCTCCAAGGCATCCAGCAGGGAGCTGGGCGCCTTTGTCAAATCGGGTATATCGCCCTTATCAATGCCAACATTCTGCAAAGGACAAAAGCCAATACAGTTGAGAAATTCGTACAATTTATAAGCAATTTATTGCGCGCACCTCGGCCACTTTTAGGAATTCCCCCACACGATCCATGCGAACCAAAAACTTTTTGTACAAGTCTAGAGCATCGCGTGCATGCTTCTTGTTCATGTCAAAGTATTTCTCCAGTAGATTGATAATGCCATCATTATAGCAGGCAAACAGACGAATTAAGTCACGGAAGAGCAGCATGAAGCTCATATTGATGACGCCTACGGAAAGAGTACACATAGATATATGAATACATTGAAGCAAAGATATCGTGGCATGCACATACCGTTAGTCAAATCATTGGACTGACAGTCGAACTCCAGAAGTGCATCCAATTGAGCCTGCAAAACTGGCAGCGTCTTCAACAGCTTCTCCGCATTCATATTACGCAACGAGCCCTCCTCTTTCCTAAAATTGTATATTAATTAATACGAATCATGGAATAAACTATTACAATTGCTCAACTTACCCGCGCTTCACTTTGCAAAAATCGAAAGCCATCGCGCGATACGAGAGCGACTTCTCATTCAAATACTTGGCATAGCGTCTTATGAAGGGCGACATGTCATAGCCTGTGGTGCGTGATAATAATAGGGTATTATTCTTCAGTCAATTTGTGGCTACGATAAGACACATTAAGTATACGTCTGTCGAACAGTCAATTTTGAACGCCAAATAAAACAATCGGGTTATGGGTTTAGTCAAATACAGTTAGTCAAAAATTTGTCTTGCTTTTGTATACATAAATATGGTTTCTTGAGCTTTAGTTCAGAGCCATGACCTCAATAGATGTTAGTATACATTTTGCATGTTTTGCTGTTCCTGGATAACCCCGTAAGCCACTATGAAAACGTGTTTTCTTCAAGAAATACTCACCCATTCTGCCACCTGGAACGCCCATGCCACCATCTGTAGTATAGGTTCATAATTCGCATTGCATATATTATTTATATATTTATATATTAAGAATGATTTTTATATATGAATTTTTGTTTTATATGTATAGATGTGAGTGTGTTTGTATGTGAGTAAGCAGCGCGTTTTAGTTGATAGTCGAGGCACAGTATTATTATTATTATTATTATTATTATTTAAATGTTATCATTAGAACGAATTACACAAATGAATAGGCCAAACGCGATTCGCAGCATTCGAATGTGAGTGAGAGCAAAAAGAGAAGAGCAGAGGGAGAAGCAAGTAATATTATATTTGTATTGCAAAGTTAAATAGTTAAATGTTCTGTTGTATGCTGTGTTTGTGGAGAGCATGAGCAAATGTTAGAAAGCATTAAGTGTTTCGCATTGTTTCATCATTTTCATCTTCTTCAAAGGCTTTTATGGTCTTTGAATGCCTGCAAATTTATTCGTGTTTATACCTTGCACAGTTCCTTTGTCCAGAAAGGAGCTGAGATTAAATGTTGAGTTGCTCGAGGCGAGATATTGCATGAAACGCTGAAAAGAAGACAGATAAGACAGCTGAGTTAGTAAACAGGAATTCGTGACAGGAATCTATGAATAATGCGCACAAATATTTAGTCCATTAAAGCTGACCTTACATTAAAGCCGTATTCCACTACATACATATATCATTTCATCAGCAGCTGAAGTCGTATTCGCTTTCAGCACCCACAAAGCAACGGCTGGGAGGAGCTCCAATTAAAGCACAGAATGCGCGATTGGGTACAAAGAAAACTGGGCGAATGTGTCGCCAAAAGAGGAAATAGGAAGAACAAATAAATGAAAGTAAAAGATAACACAAGCGGCAAAGAGCACGCAGGGCAAAACAAGGCAAATCAAGCAGCAACAGAAATAAAAGAGAATAAAACAAATTAAATACAAACAAAGCGACAATGAACGTGACCTTTTCGTAGTGCTAAAAAAGGTCAAACAAGAGTGAAAAGAATAAAAGTAAAAGCAGTATGTAAGCAAAAGGAAATTAAATTCAAATATAAATTACATAAATAATCATAAATTGAATAGTACAGCATACATAATAGATAAATTGCAAATTTATATCAATTAAATTACATTTACCATTATTCTCTTCACTTGTATACATACATATGTATATATGATACACCCCCTGAGTACCTATGTAGACAGCGGATCATTTAGAGAGCTAGTACAAACCTCATTGCCATACGCCATCAAATGATGTGTGGTTATCAGCGACTTATAGACGACCACCCAGTTGGCGTTCTGCGAGCGCTCGATAAGTAAGTTGGCCAAATGGGGTATCGAGACATTCGGTTCGTTTGTGCAGTGCACCAGATCTGCAAAGAGAGTTCAGAAATGAAATGAAATTGAAATCTTGTGTGTATGATAAATATTCCACTAAAGTACTTATACAATGCTACTAAATGCCAAATATCTTGGGTGTTCGCTCAACTTGGGTTTCACTGTGCATACATTCATTTGGTGTTATCATCTGATTGGTGCCGACTTCTGTGGCCTATCCATTGTTCGTTGCAATGCTCTTATCACGCTCACATTCTGCACAGACGACATTTTATGCCGCCTGCATTCGAATTGCGATAAGCTTTGTCTCTGGAGAAAACGACGCACAATTTAAATGACATTATATACGTAGTACATAAAAATATACATATGTATATATATTCATATATTGTGGATATTATATAAGAATCATCAGACTGTTTTTCCCCCAACAGCTTGTTATCGGCATTTAAAGAGGGGCGTATATTTACAGACATATGGGCAGATGATTTAAATGCACTCGTTGATTGCATACACACACAGACACAGACACATACATACACATATGTATGTATATATGTACACATGTACACATACCAATACAAACATTTAAATCATTTGATTCAATTCAATAATTGATATTCGTATATGTGCACATAAATTGAAATAAATACGTAAATATATGGAAATTCGTTTGATATTCTTTAAATTAACGCTCAACTGAAACTTGAAACTTATAATAAAAACTAGCTCAAAGCAAAGATTTCGATTTAAAGACTAACTAAAGGCTAACGACTAAAAACTTTTCAGCTCGAAATAAGCTTTTTGCACCCCTAAAGGAAACAAAATTAAGTTAAATATACATACATATATATGTATGTAGTAGGCTAGTTTATATCCTAGATCCTATATATACATATATATTAAATATAAAATATATTATAATATATACATACATCCTTAATTAGGTGTATTACTCTTTATATGCATGCTCAAAAAATCTGTATATAGATCTAGCTCTTCACTTCATTACCTTATACGTTATGCATGCCTCTACACACAGGTTACAGGGTATACGCCCTTGAAACCTATTGACCCAAATTAGAATTTACTTTACTGAACTGGAGCATGCTTAAAGAAGAAATAAATATAATATTCAAATTAGTTTTGGCTTGGCTATTTCTAATTCCAAGCTTTACATATTTTTTGAGGCTTTACATCAGAATTTCCGAGACTAGCGCTAATTGAACTTGTATTTAAATGTATTCATTCCTTAGGACAGCTTCGGCTGCAGAGTTGTCTAGGTAAAGTACCTGAGTTTCCTTGAATTCACAACTGGTTTCATTCACAGTTTTATTTCTCGTTATTAGCAAAGAAAAACAAAGAGTTGAAAGGGTAAATGAGAGGAGTTAATCGTATGTTTTACATTCTACCTGCTTTGAGCAAAATGTAATCGGAGAACTGGTTTTCTCTTTTCTTACTCTTTCTTTCTTAATTTCTAAGTTGTAGCTGATGTGTGACTTTTAATGAGTTTTTTTTTTATTTCTTTATTGGCTTTGGTTTCATTTTCCAGCTTTAGCTGGCGTTGAGGCACAGGTTGCTCTAGGTTCTATTCGTCTTCTTGTTCCTATGAATAGCATTATGATTCTGATCAGAAATAAAGCTTACTTATTTCAATCTCGCTTGGAACAAACTATCCAATTATCATATTTTTATGGGCGTTTATTTAAATGCCTTTTGTAAACCAAACGGTACAATATATAAATTGAAAAAATAGCAATTGAAGCATTTAAATATATTTTATATTCAAATTATTATATTAAAATTTTAATTCAGATCGATTCTGATCAGAAACGAATCCTCTTTGAATCAGTTTGGCCAATCAGAGCTGAAGCATTACGCGGGCAATGTTTGACCGCAAGCTCCAGCTGGATTTATTTTGGTTTACCTACGTACATAATATATAATAACAAACACACACATACATACAAATACCAGCACAATAATTTCTAGCCAAGGCTTTAGATATGTATGTATATACATATGTAGAATGTATGCTCATTGTGTGACAAATCCACATAATTTCCAAAAAGAATACACAAAAGATGTAGTAAAAATGCAATCACGACATACATACATGAGCATAAATACATATGTGTATGTGTATGTATTTGCCAACGGTACTAAGCATTACCGAAAATTTCTCATGACTCATTTCGCGCTTATTGGACAACAACAAAGTTGCAAACGTGCCAAAGAAACGGCAAACTTAAATAAGAAGCAGGTCAAAGCAGCACACATACATACAACTACACACATACGCATACACATATGAAAAAGCAGTGGAGGCAAAACAGTCAACCAGAATCCAATAAGACAAGACAAAAGATCACTTTGTTTAGTCAATCAGAAATGCAATGTAAAACAGACTTTTCTTGCAGTCGTTGTTGTTTTTATTTTTGCACACAGATTATGAATAAATTTAAAAGGCAATGACACCGTTGAAACGGTACATACTCCAACAACAGCAACAAATATGATATCTAATACACACACATACATATACACACACACAAGCCCTCATTGTAAATCATACACACGTGCAGCCGTGAGAAAGTGACGTAACATTAGAAAGAGAGGCCTAGAGCATTGAGAGCGACTGACGAAGCAGTCAAAAGGAAAGACCACAAACAGCAGCTGAGGCGAGGCAGCAGGTGCATTGCAAAAAAAAAATACAAATTTTAAAGAGTAGGCGTGAATTTGAGGGGAATTTCAGTGAGTAACAAAGCAAGCTATGCACAACATGATAACAGTTTACAGTAATTGCCATAGCGAAACACCCAAGATAAAATATTGAAAAACTCTCCCAAGGCACACACACATCCAAATGTAACGTTACAAGTCACCCAAAAAAACAAAAAAAGAAAAAGAAAATACGTCAGCCTTCTACTAGAAAAGAAGAGAGCAAATGTCTCTTTGTGTGAATCTCTTCGAATGAATGGCAAAATGTTGACAAGGTGACAGATTTTTTTTGCCACTATGTGTGTGTTGACCGTTATTTTTCCCTTTTCATATTCGGTTAAAAACTGTGTGATTTGTTCTGTTTTTATTTTGTATTCTTTTTGAATTGCACTTACAATCTAAATGCTTCTTCTTCGGCCCGATGCATTCCTCAGTTGTGGCCTTGCACACTGATTTCGCGAGTCCTTGGCCCGCAAGGCTGTGACGAGCAGCCAGCAGCCTGTCGTTGATTGTTTGCCCAGCCATAGTCATGATGAAGCTGTTTTTGTTGTTGGTTTCACTTAATTAACACTAGTTATATATCCAATCTAATTTGATTATGTGCACTAAAGAATGGACCAAACAGCACACATACACATACACTGTGAGACAGGCCAGTACACGCACACGAACACAAACACGCACACTCAGAGGCAGGGAGACGTATTGATATTGATTAGTTGTTGTGGCAAATGTTTAACGAAAAATAAAACACGACTAGCTGGCGCACCACAAACTTTTCATTCGATTTTTTTTCTGCACAAATTAATTTTTACACCGCGTTTGATGCGCTCTTTAGCCGGTGCGTAACGCTGTAACGCGATCTTTAATTCTCTATTTTTTTCTTCTTTTTTTGCCACAAATCGATAATGGCGACCAGTACTTTTGCAGCCGATTAGAATAGTGAGCGGTGTTATATCGATGATTGTTCGTGAGTGGACTTATATCGATATACTTTTTATTGCCACACTTGTTTGATATTATTTCACTTGCGGTATTCCTTATATTTCTTAATTATACCAGCTAAGGCTGGCAATTAGCACTGGTGCCGTGACAATATAAATCAAAATCTACTACCTACCTACTAATATCTACCATCTACTTATGTGTATGTACATTTAAAGAAGTTATAAGCAGCATACGAAATTACTGGAACATTAACTAGTCAGCTGATGGTCAGTTGCACTTGGCGATAACTGTGTATAACGATAATCGATAATAAACTTACTTTATATAGCTCCAAAGCCTAGCAAAATAAAAAATACATGAAACAATAATAATTGTAAACCCTACATCTACAAGTTGTTTTTGTAGCCACATAGACATTGCCACAACAAATGTGAACGCAGGCGCTGCCAGAGCGCCCAACTACAACAACTCGCACAAAATAACCAGCAAATTTCGATCCGTCATCTTGAAGACAGCCATCCACAAAAAGAGCTCCAGGATGAATGCAATGCGACAGTTCTACATGGAAGTGCCCATAGTGACAAGGGCGTATACTACAGTCTGTGTACTCACAACGTTGGCGGTGGTGAGTCCTTTACAGTTACAACTAATGTGATTCTAATGCACGCTGACGTGTACCGTAATCTGCATATGTTTTGTGGCTTGCCTTTATCTTTGATTTGCCAGCACTTGGATTTAGTCTCGCCGCTTCAGTTGTACTTTAATCCCACACTGATTGTACGCAAATTTCAAATCTGGCGTCTGGCCACCACATTCCTATACTTTGGTACCATTGGCATCAGTTTCTTCTTCAATATGATATTCACCTATCGCTATTGTCGCATGCTGGAGGACGGTTCCTTCCGCGGGCGCAGCTCCGATTTCGTGATGATGTTCATCTTTGGCGGCGTGCTGATGACATTCTTTGGCATCTTCGTCAATCTGCTGTTCCTCGGCCAGGCATTCACGTTAATGCTGGTCTATGTGTGGTCCAGGCGCAATCCTTTGGTGCCCATGAACTTCTTCGGTGTGCTCAACTTTCAGGTAAGCCCCACAAATATAATTGCAATTGCATATTGAATATTTAATATGTTTTCCATTATCTGGGCAGGCGCCGTATCTACCTTGGGTACTCCTCTGCTGTTCCATGATATTGGGCAATACCATTTGGGTTGATATCATTGGCATGGGAGTTGGCCACATCTACTATGTGCTCGAAGATGTCTATCCCCACCTATCAAACGGCTTCCGACTGATTAAGACGCCGTATTTTCTGTAAGATAGCTTATTCATGAACTTAAGCTTGGATTTATTCTATATCTTTATCATTCGTACAGTAAAAGACTTTTCAATGAACACATTGAACGCAATTACCAAGCTGCTGCCGAAGATCGCCCTGGCGGCTTTATGTGGGGCGGCGAGGGTCAGCCAGTGGAGCCAGATGCACCGGCCGAGGCCAATGAAGCACCAGATGCAGCTGAGCAGCCCGCAGCAGCGGCAGCGCAATAACAAAAAACAAGCAAGCAGCGTGTGTTGTTAAATTATTAAGAAAAAACAAAAAATGAAAACACAAAAACAAATAGCATTTGGACGAGACTTAAACGTTAAGAACCCTCCGCCACCTTTCACCTGGTGCTTGGTAAGATTAGCTACATATTGAGATACTGAAAGAGAGAGAGAGAGAGAGAGAGAGAACGAAGCGAGTGGCGTGCAATAGTTAGCCAAAGTTGGATTCAAGTATGTGTGTATTATTGTTTGATTTGAGTTCCATGCTCAGTTGTACAATTTAATGCAATTGGCCTTAAGTTTCCATTTCAATGATTCAGCACATGTGATTATATATATGTATGTAGGTATATATATATTTATGAAAGAAACAAAAAAAAAACAAGGTAACAAATGAAAATAAACAAATGTCTAATTAGAAATCTGTTAAACTCTCAATAGCGCCATCTGTTGTTTCAATTGCCGGTGGCTATCATATGTTGACAAGTCATACAATTCCATCAATGCATTTTGTTAGCAGTGCAACAATTTAACAGGCAAGCAACCATATGTTGCCATAGAAGACTATCTGGCAGCACTATAACCAGCAAATGCTGTCATATGATGATTGTTCGATCCAATGGCTGTCATACAAAAGGCAGCATAGATCTGGCAACTACTTGGCCAGTCGCGGCCATAGTAAGTTGTGGGCATATTGGTCTGGCAGCGCTATGCCAGATTTCTGACAGACACCATATAAGCAATGGAGACAACAACCAAACACTTTAAAGATTGGGTAATATATTGATAAAAATATCTTTTTCAATAAATGATTTAAACTCAAATACATATTTCTAGGTAAGTGCCAACAAACGCTGTCGTAGATCACGGAGAATCGAACAGGAGTGGACCCCAGATAATGTCCGTTTGCTCATCCGGCTCGTGGAACAGCGAGAATTGCTATGGGATCCAAGCAATTCGAATCACAAGGATAGCAAATTGCGCGAGCAAGCATTTCAAATTATAGCCAGCAAACTGGATCGCACCTTGGCCGACTGCAAGGCCAAGTGGGACAACCTGCGAGCCCAATATAGAAGCTATCAGGCGAAGGCGAAGCAGAACATTGAGGTCAAATGGCAATACTTTGAGCATTTAAGCTTTTTGCAGGAAATCTGCGAGCCACGGAAGTTCGATGCCAATTCTGTAAGTCACCAATCACATATTTACATATATATAAACATATGTATATATTTTTATTATGATATCACTTTTCAGTTACAGCTCGAACCGAATGATGAGGTTTGCATCAAGCGCTCATCTTCACAGCCATTGATGGAAGAGGTCGACACCTGCTCCACTCTGTTCTCCTTTGCTGCAAAAGCTCCAGAACTGCATGAAGGATCGTCAGCAGTGAGGGAGCCAAAGCCACATTCTCACCAAATCTTTGGCGATTTTGTAGCCGACGAAATGCGCCGCCTACCACCCCATATAGCTGATGAGCTAAAGCGAAATATTCTTAAACTGATAATCGAGGCATTGGACAGACAATAGTGGAAAAATATAAATATTCCTAATTGAATTTATCGCATTTGCTATTTGGATTTTATTGCTCTATATTTAAGCATTTTTCGCATTTTGCATATTAGCGGCATATACTAACATTTTGAATTTAATATAACGTGTATTCTAATTGAAAAATGTACATTTTCATCTATTCTCTAATATAGATTATTATCTAAATAAAATGCAAACAGCATTTTTTAATAGAAAATCATATATGTATGTATTTACAAAAGTGCAATTTTTTCAATAGTTTCAATAATCTTAACAGCATATTTTCCACTACCTGCTGGTTAACACATGTTTAGATAACATAACGGATCACATAGGAGGACCAAGAGCTCTTGGAAGATTGAGAGGTTCACTGATAAGTATTAAACTGTTGAGTATTGTTGATAATTCTAAGGAATTAATATAATTACAATTATTTTATTTAATCTATATATTTCTATGTGAAAACGAATCGCAAGCTGCTTGATTATGACCACTGACCAGAGAACACATAGACTAGACATGTAGAACAAATTTTTCTACACCTCG